AGTGGTTTTTGAGATTTAGGATAAACATCCTAAATCTCATGAAGACAAAACTACAATGAGAACATAAGAAAAACCTCAGAATTCAAAATATAAAGATGATTCTGTAAAAGCTTCTTTTTTACTAGCTTTAGTTCCGAATGTTCGTGAAAGTCACTACAATATTTTTTATCTTAATGAACTGACTCAATTTAAATATAATAAAGCACTCATTTGTAGCTGATCTTAAGCGTTGTCAAAAAATGTATGGTTTATCTTCAAGTGCGATGGCTACACAACAATGCCGTATATGTAAGTTGTAATAAATGCAACCATTTAAAGAAGAAAAGCTTAGAAATTTCGGTTCTATGTTGGAACAATACATAGTACTTAATCTCGAGAATTTCTCGAGAAAAAGTCATTATTTTTATTTCTCAATTCTCAAGTCATTATTTGTATTTCTCAATTCTCGAGAAATTGAATAAAAATTCACGAGAAAAAAATTAAAGAGTTTTCAAGTAAAAATTTATTGCAATACTTTATATTTTATGAAAAAAAAGATTAAATTTTTAAAGAAATTTGTGATTTGTCTGATTCTTTCAAACAATCTTACAAAAAGTTAATTGTAATTTTTTTTTATTAATTTTTTTATTTATTCTAGTTTATATAGAAAAAATGAGCAACAACGGCAAGCGCTAGACTTACAAAGATGTTAACCCATATTTTAAAATAAACAACGATGAGGCACATTGCAATTTATGTACAAGAAAATTATTATGCAAAGGTTCAGTAACGATTGGTCTGCGGAGACATCTTGAAAATGTTCACAAATACACTCGCGTGTTAAAAAGTTCTACTTCTCATCAAAATAAACGGAATAAAGTTGAAAATCTAACTAATGAAACTATTTTAAAATTTGTAAAACGACCAACCTTGGCCTAATTGATTTCTAAATCGGCTGCTAAGGACGGTATATCGTTCAATAAAATTACTAAAAGTGAATTTATACGTCAAAGTATGACCGCCAGGGGATTCAGAATACCTCAAAATCCTTCTGAGGTGAGACAATGGTGGAATTTTACCATAGCAAAAAAGAAGAGATACTACAGATTATAAAGAAACTAAAGGACGAAGAAAGAAAGTTCTATTGATATATAGCGTATCTATTGACAAATGAATAAGCGTTAAAAATTGTAGATACATAGGTGTTCATTTATACAGAAATAATGAAAATAATTCATTTAACCTTGGTATGATTTTTATCGAAGGAAGTTGTGCATCAGAAATAACTTTGGAAATACTGTCACAAAAATTAGGAGAGTTTGGTATATCCTTACAAAAAAATATTGTGGTTGTTATGAGCGATGGTGTTGCGGTTATGAAGAAATTTGGTAGATTATCGCCTGCCTTGCAGCAATTATGCTACAATCATAGCATACATCGAGCAGTTTTGAAAAGCTTTTACGCTAAAACGAAAAAAGGAAATAAATAAATTCGTAGACGAGCATGAGACTGTAGATAGCGATGATGATGCTAGCATTGGAAGTACAGAAGAAGATGACTTTGATTTGGAAATTGATGTGTTACGTTGCAAAAACTTTTATTTTAAATTCCAAATTAAAGATGCAATTGTAGGAATACGAAAAATTGTAAAACTCTTTAAAAATTCTCCAGTGAAAAATGGTGTTCTGCAAAAATATGTAAAAGACCAAGAACAAAAAGAAATGGGTTTGCAACTAGACTGTAAAACACACTGGAAAATTATTGAAATAATGGCAAAACGGTTCTTAAAAATCAAAAACTGTGTGCAAATGGCATTAAGTGAAATAAATTTGAGCCATTTGTGGAAAGATAATTACAAACAAATGGCCAAAATTCTATTAGCTGTTTTAGAACCAACACGAATAACTGTAGAAGCTTTAAGTCGAGCTGATGCAACATTATTAACGAGCCTTAAAATTTAAGAAAGAGCCTTAATATTTTTATTTAATAAATTAGAGGAAGAATGTAGAAAGAACCAAATAAGCAGAGAATTTTTAAACAATATGAAAGAAGAAATTAGTAAAAGGAGAAATGATAATGTTGTATCTTTATGCAAATTTTTACATAACCCAACAAATGATGAAAAATATGCTTCTTTTTTTTTTAAATATTCGTCAAAAAATGATATTTATAAAACTGTTAGAGAAGTATTTGATAGATTGTATGGGTCAACCGATTCCGAAGAAGATCTAACTGAAGACACCTCCACTTGTAGCAATGTCAACACTGAGCTATCATTTGAAGAACAACTAAATTTAGCTATAACAAATACAACAAAAGAAATTATGCTACGTCAACGTTGCAATAATGATAACCAGAATTTTTATCAGACACTTAAAAAAGAATTCAGCATTTTCCAAACAACTGGAATAAGGTTACAAAATTTGGAAAATCTAAAAGATGCATTATCCACAATAAAACCAATTTCAACGCAAAATGAAGGTAATTTCTCAACTGCAAATTATTTTGTTACAAAAAAAAAGAGATTACCAAACACGTCATTGAATTTATGTTTTTTATAATATTACTTCAAAAACAATAAATAAAGACTTGTTACACTTTTATATTTTTTAGTCAATCTTTTTTTCGTCATATTTTTTTTTTTATATTAATAAATTGACTTTTATATTTATTACTCTGCTGTTTTTTAAAATCAAATATTTGTTCTTATACATTTTATGAACATAAATTAAAATTAAGATAATAAAATTTAAAAAAAATTATGATTTTGACATTTCTCAAAATTTCTCGAAAAGCTCATTCTCAATTTCTCATTTCTCGAGAATTAAAAAACATCGAGAAATCTGAAACACTAACATTACACAAACGTTTCTCAATCAGGTGCAATGAAACGTTAGGCTAAAGAACTTTGCAATGTTATTAATCATCCATTGACACACGCAGAAACCATCGACCATTTAGTGCAGATTATCTTTTTCCACCAGAATTACACCTAATGGAGGGAGCTGTAAATTATATTTATAATCATGTAGAGAAATGTAGTGGTAAAAACGAAGTTGCTAAAGTGTCAATGATTTTAAAACATTTTAAAAGAGGTCCAGAATAATGTCTTTAATGACAACACCTCCCGTAAAATTCTTCAAAATTATAAGTACATGTGTGCATTGCCAATTAACTTAAAAATATTGGCAAAAGGGCTTCGAATTTTTACCAATTCGGTTGAGTCTTGTTATGGACAAAAACTTCATCATGATTTTCAAACATATATAAAAAACTTTGAAAATCACTACAAAACACTGGTTGAATATTATCGAATAACAGTTTGATTGAAAATTTATTTTACTTTAAAACATTTAGGTGCTTTTTGTGCTTGGATTAGGCTGCTACTCTGAACAAGCTGTTGAATCAATTCATTAAAACTTTGTTAATGAACCTTGGAATAGATTCAAAGTTTCCAAAAGTAACAGCTCCTTTTTGTAATATTAAAAAAAAGCTCTCATCAGTTTTAACAAAAAAGACCTTGTAAATAAAGCTAATACTCCTTAAAGTATATTTATTTTTTAACTTTATTTAATTATAACTTTTTTATGCTAATGTCACAAAAGTATGTTAAGTTTAATAATAAACAGGATCTTAATAATATAAAACATTACTTAATATTTTTGTACATATATGTAATGTGAATGGGTTTGTATTTTACAAATGGCATTCATGACAGTGATATCCAAACGATATATTTTATTTATTACTCATTTTCACACCTTAAATGGCTATAGCTTTTTAACAATTATTAAATTTTTATATAAATTTGTTAAAAAATAAAGTAATTCATAAATTTGGAAAAAAAATCTAAAGTTGGGCCATTTTGGCTCCTAAAACCTAAATATTTTGCTAAAAATAATTTTATGATTTCGGTGACATATCAAACTTAAAACTAGTCATTATAACGAATCCAACGATGTATAACAATGGCCGGGGTCAAATCGCAAAACTAAAAAGTAGTTGGAGACATGTGTGTATGTATTGTAATATGATCAAACTATATAAAAAAAAAATTCTCATTATTGAATTTTTTGGCAATATTTTGTTTTTAAGATTTGCAACTAGTGCTTGTAGGTCTAGTCACCAGTGGAAGATATTTAACCGTATAGATCTGAGGGTGAAAGAACTGTGTTCTTGTATTGTTGTTCGCAATTAAAGCAAAATTCTAGCCGCCTTTTGGATCCGAATACCACTTTCATAAGAAACGCAGACCTCATATATGTACTCATACCAATTTTAGTAAATGAAGACCTAATATTTAATAAGCTATTAATTTTGTCCATTAAAAGTAGGGCTGTACCGGATTTGATTTTTTCAAATCTGGCCGGTGTCGGATTGGTCGGATTTCTACTAACAAATCTGGCCGGATCCAGAGCTGGAAAGCTGAAACAGAGACACATTCTCGCCTTTACCTTGGTTGCAATGGTTGCCATGAGTTCCGTGTCATAAGTTCAGCAATAATATATAAGATGTTTTGACGTCAAAATGAAATTTAACTTATCGCCATTATTTATGGTGATAAATAAAATTACAAAACAACCGAATCAGTGATTAATTTCTTTCGTGCTACTAATACTATTTTAAGCTCGATATCTGATCATATCTATATAACACATAAATACGTTTTATAAAAGGTTTGACTTTTTTTTAAAAAACAAACTAGACAAACGTTTTTACATCGCTAAATTGGAAAATTTTTTCAATAGTTTTACAAGATTGAATTAAACTTCTATTTAATTCATTTATAATCAGTTTCTCTTTAAATTATTTAGTTGAGTATATATATACGAATATAATTTTTTATTTTATTTAATTTTTTATTTTAAACCGAATATTCACTTAATATATAGAGATTTTATTTAAAAACTTTAGACTGTTTTAAATACTATTTAAAATAGTAGAAAAGTTTTTTTTACTATTTAAAATATCAATATCATTAATTTTGTAAATAGTATTTACAAAAATTAACGATATTTATATTTTTTTTGTTGTAAAAAAGTTAATACATAAAATACTACAACAAAACTCAAGTAAAAAATAAATACTATTAAAAATAAAAAGTATTATAAATACTTATAAAAATGGATTTTTTATCTGGAGTGACTTTGTTCAAAGCTGATGGCTCTAGTGGCTTAGCAGACAACATACTTAGTGAAAAGGTTTTTACTTTTATATAAATTTATTTTCAAGTTGAAACACTATTAATTAATGAAGTTGATTTAAACATAAACTTCATTTATTAATAGTGTTTGGCTACGAGAACTGTTGATTTCTTGTAATTAATTTTAAATTAGGATAAAATGTGAATTTGATGTAATTTGTTGCATTTGCATTCTTTTTGAAAATTTGTTTATAATTTTTATTTTAGTACTGTAACTTTGGCCATTTTTAAAAATTTTAATTAAAAAAAAAAAGTTACAGATTTAAATTAAATCTGTAACTTTTAAACAGTTAAGTAATGTTTTACAATTTAAAATAGTAAAATTTTACTTTATTGTTTAAAAGTTACAGATGTTTAATTAAAATTTGTAAAAATGGCTTAAGTTACCCCGCTGGCCAAAATTACCCCGGTTTACGGTATGCTAAAGAACTTAAGGTGCAAGAAAAAATGTTAAAAAAATTTTGAGTGACAATCTAAAACTTTTTTTTTCTTTAAAAAAAAAATTTTTAATTGATTTCTATATTTAAAATTTTTTAAAGCTTAAAACTTTATGAAAAAAAAATTTTTTTTGTTATTTTCTTAAATAAATACATTAAATTGTTTTTATTAGGATTTTGTGCTTTATTATTTCTCAGCTCATTGGTGTCCTCCATGCAGACAGTTTACACCTGTGTTAAAAGAATTTTATGAAGTAGGTCTATGTAACATTTTAGCATATATTTCATTTATTAGCTTTATTCATTATTTTTTTGTAGTATACAACATTAATTTTTCACAAAAAGGTATTTTATATTCCTATATTTAAAAAAAATGTCACAACTGATAAAATTTCTGCAAATATTATCAGTTGATTTGTGTTTACTTATATCTCAAATAATTTATTCAACGAATCTAATTAATTAATTTTAATTAAGGAGTCATTTACAGTGTAATTGCAGGGTTCCCACACCTTCTTAAAAACCTTAAATATCCTTAAAAAATAAAAACCTCCTTAAATGTCCTTAAATAACCTTCAAAATTTGACTGCTCTCCTTAATTTCTCCTTATTATTATTTTTTTAATCATCTAGAAAAATTTTTTCAAGTGAATGGGTTATACTTGTTAATAAAGAAGATAATATATAGATTTTTGATAGTTTTCAAACCTATTTTTGTTATTATATATATATATATATATATATATATATATATATATATATATATATATATATATATATATATATATTTATATATATATATATATATTATGTAATAAAAATTTCTCTGTTTATATTTAAAATTTATTGAAAAAAATTAAATTATGTTTTTAATGTAATTGTTTTCTCCTTAATTATCCTTATTTTTTCTTTCAAAACAATGTTTTCGCGACTAAATCTCCTTAAACATTAGAAAAATATCTCCTTAAATCTACTTAAAATTCTTAATTTTAGCCTTAGTTTTAATAGTGGGAACCCTGAATTGAGAACAATATATATCTTTTGACACAGATTGATATATAAACAAGCATATACACATAGGTATTCTATTTTTAATTTAGGTTGTAAAAGATTCTGGTGTAGAAGTTATTTTTATATCTTCTGATAGAAGCCATGAAGATATGATAAGCTACATGAAGGCAAAAAAAATTTAACTTTAATTTAGCATGATAATTTTAGTTTCTATTTATATGAAAAATATTTATTTGCTTTTTGTGTTTATTTTTACTATGTAAATTATTTGATATTGAAATTTTTTGTTATTATTGATACAAATAATTTTTTTTATTTTATTTTGACTTTTAAAGATATTTTGATTAATTTTAAACCGTCAGGTTGCCATATGATTGATATTATGGTGAGAAACTGTGATAATTATAACTTTGGTAAAGGTAAAATAAGTACACTATTTTCAGAGGGAGATTTCAGAGATTCTCAAAAAAATCAAAACGTCTAAAACTATTTCTTTGAGAATCTCTGAAATCTCCCTATGAAAATAGTGTACTTATTTTAACTTTAACAAAGTTATAATTATCACAGTTTCTAACCATAATATCAATCATATGGCAACCTGACGGTTTAAAATTAATCAAAATATCTTTTGCAAGACTCAACAAATCGTAAAAATAGTGGTAGAAAATATGTGAGTACATCATGAAAAGACAGATTTTTAAAGAATATTGTTAATAGTGAGTCCCACACAACATCTTCAAGATTATAACAACTTGCTATGGAAAGGGGTATTACTAGTTCCAGAACAATTAGGAGAAGGCTGTATTAGGACTTCGGTTTAGTTGCTAGAGAACCAGCTAAAAAACCTTTATTAACTCCAGCACAATTGCAAGCTAGGATTAAATTTTATAAGAGTTTAAAAGACAAGGCACTGAATTGGTGGGAATTAGTAATGTTTACAGATAAAAGTACATTTCAACAAGTTAGAACCACGGGCTATAATTATGTTAGAAGACCTGTTGGAGAATGCCTGAATCCAAAGTATGCCATAAAAACAATCAAACATCTCCCTTCAGTTATGGTATGGGGTGTTATCACAGTAAAAGGTTGATGTGGTATGCACATTTTTAAAAAAGGCCAAAAAGCCAATGCGCAAAAGTATCTGTTTGTATTGAAAGATAAGTTGAAACTGCATATGAAAATTACTAAAGCCAGCAAGGCTTTAGTAATTTCCATATGCAGTTTCAACTTTTTTTTATTCAGCACCATGTCACACAACTTCTTTATTCAGCACCATGTCACACAACTAAGATGTGATTTACTGATAATAATATTGAATTATCCAATTAGCCCTTAAGTATATAGAAGACTATTATTTATATTTATAACCTTATATTTATCAAATTTTATTGGTTTTAATTATCACTAAAGCTATGTTGTGTTATTTAAATGATCTTTTTATAAGACTTTTTTTTTAATAAGTTTTATCTATAGCTAACAAGTAAAAATATTTAAATATTTATAAAAGTGATGCTATTGTGGTATACATGCTAATACAGTCCTGAGCATTTTTAAAAAATGATATTCAATTTTACCTTTTTAATAAAAAGCATTTTAAATGACATTTGTCAATATGAAAAATCAAATGAATTAAAAAACTTTAAATTCCATTAAAACAATCCTTTATGCATATATTTAATTGATAATTGCTTTGAACATAAAATTACATTAATAAAAATTCTCTTAGTTAAATTCATCTGGTTATATAAAAAAATTGGAATGAAAAATTTAATTTTTTTTCTCTCGTGTCGGTCTGTAATTTCTGGGTTTGTAATTTATACACTCTGTAAGGTGTTATATCTTGGAAAGAAATCATTTTTAGCATATGGTTCTTACATATTTTTAGTTCTGCTTGTCAAGCTCTTTCATATAATATATATTTTTTAAATTTACAATTAATTTTTTAGTTGACTGAAGGAAGTTTGACCTCATGGGTACTGGCCCAAATGTTTTTAAAAAAAAATGGGCGCCAAAAAAATTTTTGGTATCCATTTTTTTCTTAATTTTAACCTAAAGAACAAGTTTAAAAAACAAAAAATTGCTTCTAACACACTTGTGTGCATGAAGTACACAATGACCCTCACTACATAGTCTCTTGAGTATTTATATTTAAATAGTTTGCGATTAGCATTGATTGTGATTGTTTGTGATTGGCATAGCGTTTTTTCCGTTTGCCTTTGGTTAAGACAATATATTGTTTATCAGGTTTATTTTGTGAGTAAACTATTGAATTTATATATATATACACACACACACACACACACACACACACACATATATATATATATATATATATATATATATATATATATATATATATATATATATATATATATATATGTGTGTATATATATATTTATATATATATATATATATATATATATATATATATATATATATATATATATATATATATATATATATATATATATAATTAATTAGTTATAATATTGTATACATAATATAAAATAGGGTTAGGACTATTGTAATTGTAATGAAAACAATAACAGAAACAATAACTATTGTTATTGTATTAACTTAATTTAGAAACAGTAACAATACTTGTGATTTACAACTATTGTAATAATTTGATACAATAACAATAAATATTGTATTGCAAATCATCTTTGTAAAACAATATCAATATCTGAAAAAAAATGTATTGTAATGGTCCACTACAATAACAATAAATATTGTATTGTAATTCGTCTTTATAATACAATAATATATTGATATTGTGATAAAAAAAGTTATTTTAGTGTCAAAATTTAATAAATATTTTAACAGTCCAGTCTCCAAGATAAGTTACCTTGAAATAGGGTACAACTAATATATAAATATTGATTTTGTTTCTATTTTATTTACTGAATATTGCTTGTCCTCATTGCAAACTCTATATAGCTCTATAAAAGTGAGTTTAATCAGGCCTGTATTTCTTTTACTGCTGGGGATAGACATGATTAATTACTACCATTTCTTCCACTAAGTTATTTGCTTTTACATTAGGCACCTATCCAATTGTTTCAAAACTTACTCAACTCACCTTTACTCTAATATGACTTTGTCTTTTGTTTCCCTTTAGCTTTATGGCTGTATGTATTTCATAAAGTAACTGGACATCTAATTGCAAAGTTATAAAAGAGTTTTGTTACATAAATCAAAAACAATATTTATTTGGTGTTCTAAACTGCCTCATTTTTCGAAAATGATCCACACAAAATTTACTCGTACGGTCTGATAGGTGTCTATCAATTTGAAAATGTAAAAAAAATTTTTAACAAAACAAAAGTAGTTCATTTTTAGACAATCTAATCGATAATTACCTCTCCGATTCCATAACGATGTAATTGATTGCATATTAGCGGTTAGATATATTGAAAAAAAAAATTATTTTCACGCACTTAATGTAGTTAATCAATTAGTTTAGTCTTAAAGTAAATAATTATTTAATTACAAGCATATGATAAATTATGTATTTGTATGATTTTGAATGAATATTAATAATGTTAATTCTAAATAAATTACTATTTTAAAATAAACAAAATTTATATATGTAAATGGTTGCTAGAAAAAGGTGCCATGTGCGCCCCTGAACCTAATATTTATTAAGTATACGTAATATATATACTTCTTTGGCTTTCCTGGCTTCACTTCACTTCTCAAAATAAATAAAATTTATATTATATAAATGACTGCTGAAAATGAGCATCGCAGGCACTGCTAAACTATCTAGTGCCCAAATAATAATAAATGCGTGAAAAAAGAATCTAAATACTATAAAATACAATAGCTATTAGACTTTGAAACAGTAATACAATACACCACAGTACTTATTGTAATTGTTTTTTTATCCCAGCAATACAATAGTTATTGTAATCGTTTTACATCACAGCAATACAATACGATAGTTATTGTAATGGTTTTACATCACAGCAATACAATACAATAGTTATTGTAATGGTTTTACATCACAGCAATACAATACAATAGTTATTATAATTGTTTTACATCACAGCAATACAATACAATAGTTATTGTAATTGTTTTACATCACAGCAATACAATACAAGAGTTTTAGAGCTTTAATGTATTGTTAGAAGAAAAAAAACAATACAATAGTTATTGTAACTGTTTTTATTCACAGCAATACAATAACCATAAATAATGTTTTAATTGCATCTCTGGTAATACAGTACAATATCATTGTATTGTAATTGTTATTGTATTTAATTTTTGCAATAACAATAACAATAGTCCTAACCCTGGTATAAAATATTGTATATGTGATTTTAAGTTTAATATAGTTTAAATTGATATTGAGTGCCACTTTTTTATTTTACTAACACTTATGTAGGAAGCTCATGGTGATTGGTATTGTCTGGAATATGGCTCTGCTTTAGTGACTAAATTGAAGGAAAAATTTGGTAAATAAATCTTTTTTTTTTTTTTTTAATTCTTCCCATTGGAGAAATCAAGTTTCATCTATGAGACTCACAGATGAAATCGGGTTTCTGATTTATATATATATATACTTTTTTTATGTATGCAAATGTAACAGTGTACCTAGGAAAATTTTAAAGTTCAAATCATTAATTACACAATTACACAGTCATATTATATTGAACTAGAAATACTTTTCTAGCTCAAGGGAAATTTGATTACTTTTTAATTAAACATCAGATAGCTATGTTTAGGTCCGCTGGGTAATTCCATGTAAAAGTGGGACAAAAAATTGAAATTTTTCAGTCACCCTCTCAGATTTCTTTCAAATTTGAACCAGTGGTACCTATCAATATAACAAAAAAAAATGTAAAGTTTGAGCTTCCAAATCCAAACCGTTCAAAAGTTATGACATTTTGAAATTCAGCCTAAAACGTCCTATTTTTTTCCACTTCCGCCATTATGAACTTTGTAGTAGTACTTTTAATTGAATAATTTAAGATCTAGTGGGAAAATGTGGCTGAAAATCAGTACCTGACCATTTTTGAGGGTGCTGAATTCAAAAATGTAGATAAAATAGTGAAATTTAAATTTTTTGATAGTTATTTTTTCATTTTAAAATGGCCAGTCAAATTTTTTGTTTTGTAACCATGGGTTGCGCTTTCATTAATTCCCGAAGTTGCCCAAGTCTCATGGATTTGATTTTTTTTTCAAATGAAGTAGGTGATCCTAGGCTATCTTTATAAAAAAAATGGTTTTGGGTTCTTAAAGCATAGAAAAGATATTTCATTTTGAAATTTAGACAAAAAATTTCTTTATTTGGCATCTATTCTCTATTATAGATTTTATAGCGATACTTATTGTGTGAATAATTTAAGATCTAGTAGAGAAATATGACTGCAAATTGGTATCTGACCATTTTTAAAGGTGTTGAATACAAAGACGAAGAGAAATTAACCCAATTCCTAATATTTTAAAATAATATTTGAATTTTAAAATGGTATAATATTACCTAACCAAAAAACGGGGTAACATTTTCACAAATTGCCTGACTCTCATGGGTTCAATTGTGGTGTGTAAAAACAGTTTATTAAGGTTGATTTTGATATAGAAATAAAATTTTGTGAAGTGAGTTATCATGAAAAATATAGTTTTGCAACACCTGCTGTGATGTGTAAATATAGTTTTGGGACGTCAGTTATGTGTCTAAATATAGTTTTAAAACAACAGTTAATAATAACAAATTTCAATAAAAAAAATTATTTTAATTTTAGATTAAATAATTATTAAATCTTGTTTGGTAATTCAGTTTCTTAGTCATGGCCAACAGTCAAAAGTGCTCTATTGGAATCAACCTAGAAAGTGAATGTCATCTTACAACATATACATCGTTGCTGGGAATCGAACCTTTTGAAGATATTATTGAATATGAAAGAGAAATATTAATGTGGAGGACTGGGCTCTCAATAATAAATATCAAACCAACAACTTGTCTCCATCATAAACATGTTTATTTGAAGCGTTATACAACTAAATTAACACGGTGCTGCAATCCATTTAATACTCATAACAAAACTATAAAAGGTATTTATAGTAATCATGAATTTATAGTAAAACTTTTAGTTTTGTAGAAACGTTTTGAATTACAATAATGAAATTCTTGGCAGCAAAATTCTATTTTAGCTATATTTAACCTTTTAGCTGACTTCTGAAAGTGCACAATTAAATGCCATACAACTTTAAACTTTTGAAGGTTTTATTAAAAATTTTATACATATTAAAAGAGTTCTTCCTTTTTTTTAGGTAGTCTTCGTGAAATCAACTTGGATACAGCAAAATACCTATGCAGTAAAGGCAAATTCGTAGTTCCAGGTGAAAAACTTTGTACACAATGCAGGCATAAATTAGCAAGTGAAGAATCAGAAGAGAACGAGTTGGAGATGAAATTACCTGAAGATAATATGAAAAAAAATCTTATACTGGAATCAACAAGATCGTTGCTCAACAGTACTTTATGCGAACTTGAAGTGTCTCCTTTAAAAGTTCATTTACCCAAAACCTCTAAAAAGCCTTCACTTGGAAAGAGAAAGATAAAGCAAGTTGAAGAAGCAGTTATTAAGAAGCTTGCAACTGCTCTGGATATAACCGAATCCGATCTTGTTGCACCAAAAAATGAAGTTCTAAAGGAAATTCAAACCAAAGCTGGTGATCTAGACTTCCTTGTAGAATGCATGAAAGAAAAACTTAAGGTTTCTAACAGGAGACAGCAACTTCAAATTTTGACATTAACCCCAAAATCTTGGTCTATCAGAAAAGCAGCAAAAGAGTTTTCAGTTTCTAAACACAAAATTCAAAATGCAAAGTTTTTACGCGACCAAAAAGGCATCATAGCATACCCTGATGTGGTTGAACGGCATCGAATCGGTAAAGATGTTATAGAACTTGTAAAGCTTTTTTACTGTGACGATGAGTATTCAAGGCAAATGCCAGGTAAAAAAGACTGTGTAAGTGTTGGGGGAAAAAAATACATGTCAAAAAAATTGATTTTGTGTAACTTAAAGGAGCTCTATGTGGCATATAAGACAAAGTACCCAGGCCATAAAATTGGATTTTTTAAATTTTGCAGTCTTCGACCTAAATGGTGCATCCTTGCTGGTCCAAAAGGTACACATTCTGTTTGTGTGTGTACAATACACCAAAATGTTAAATTAATGTTGAGTGCTATAGGCCTTGAACCATCTTACCATGAAATTATTGAAAAAATTGTCTGCAGCAGAAAATCTAAAGTTTGCATGATTCACCGATGCAATAGTTGTCCTGGCATACAACATGCCCAAAATTACTTCCAGCAGTATCTCGCACAAAATGATGATCCAAAAGAGCAATATGACAGTGATGAAAATGAACAGTCAGTGGATTTCAAACAGTGGACAACGACAGATAGAACTGAATTATTAACAATAAAACTTCCATTAAATGAATTCATAGAGCTTCTGTGTGAAAAACTTGATAATATCACTTCTCATTCATTTATAGCAAAATCACAATCTAGCTATTTAAAGCATCTCAAAGAAACAATTAGTATTGATGAGGCTATTGTACTGGCAGATTTTGCAGAGGATTACACGTTTGTAGTACAAGACGAGATTCAGAGTTACCATTGGAGCAAGAGTCAATGTTCCCTTCATCCAGTTGTCATCTACTACAATAAAGTGAAATTGGAAATATCTTCTTTGTGTGTAATTTCAGATGATTTAAATCATGATGTTGGATTTATCAATGAGGTTATGCATAAAACCATTAATCATATTAAAACTCATCTTTGTCCCACAATTAAAAAAATTCATTATTTTTCTGATGGCTGTGCAGGGCAGTATAAAAACTGCAAACATTTTTACAATTTATGTCACCACGCTCAAGATTTTTCTGTTTGTTGCATCTGGAATTTCTTTTCAACAAGCCATGGTAAATCTCCATGTGATGGAATAGGTGGCATTGTTAAAAGGCTTGTTGCAACAGCTAGCTTGCAGAGTCCAACCACAGGTCATATACTGTCTTCTCAAGCAATGTTTGAATACTGTAAAAAGTCAATCAGTGGGATTACGTTTGTGTCTCTGCTGAAGAAATGGAGCTAGTAAGAAACAAACTTACAGATAGACTTTTAATAGCAACCACTATTCCTGGGACAAGAAGTTTCCATCAATTTATACCATCTTCTCATTCAATTATAAAAATGAAAAGGGTATCCGATGATGATCATTTTTCTCTAACATTTGACTTCCTCAAAAAACAAAAATATGAAATTATTAAATTTGACAATGTTTTGATGTCACAATATCTATTTTGCAAATATGACGATTTTTACTGGCTTGGTATGGTTTATGAAGTTGATAAAGAGAATGATGATATTTATGGTAAAATTTATGCATCCACATTACCCAAGTCGGTCATACCACTGGCCAAATCGGGATGATAATTGCTGGGTGCCAAGAATGAATGTTATTTGTCTTGTTAAAACACCTTCAACATCTTCTGGGCGTCAGTACCAAATCTCAAAAGAAGATGAAAATTTATTTGAACAAGTTTTATCTTTTCAGTGAAAGTTATTTAATATTTTACTTTCATTATTTAAATGATATGAACTTAAATTTTAGTAATATTTGGTTATTCCTTTTCATTTTTATTTTTGAGCTTTTTTCAATAAAGCAGGTTTGCAATATTTTTCAAAAAAGTTTGCATTTTAGTTTCCTATTTTTTAACAAAACATTTGAGCTTGTAACCTTAAATTTGATTCATGCAACCAAGATTTTGAAATAATATCTAACTATTAGAATAATAATTAAAAAAAATTGTTCAATGTGTTGTATAGTAAATTATAATTCTATGTATACTTTTGAAAAAATAGATAAATATGCAAGTTATGCAAAGTAATATAATTTTTTATTTACTTTCACCTAAACTTTTATAAAACCTCTTCACAATGAGAGTAAGATCTCTTATTTCACAATGAGAGTAAGATCTCTTATTTCACAATGAGAGTAAGATCTCTTATTTCACAATGAGAGTAAGATCTCCTATTTCACAATGAGAGTAAGGCAACTCCAGAAATCAGTGAAATGCAAACTATGGTTAAAAGAAAAAAAAAGGACTGTTGACATAATAAAATTCAAAAATTATTTTTAAATATTAAGAATTGGGTTAATTTTAAAAATGGTCAGATACCAATTTGCAGTCATATTTCTCTACTAGATCTTAAATTATTCACACAATAAGTATCGCTATAAAATCTATAATAGAGAATAGATGCCAAATAAAGAAATTTTTTGTCTAAATTTCAAAATGAAATATCTTTTCTATGCTTTAAGAACCCAAAACCATTTTTTTTATAAAGATAGCCTAGGATCACCTACTTCATTTGAAAAAAAAATCAAATCCATGAGACTTGGGCAACTTCGGGAATTAATGAAAGCGCAACCCATGGTTACAAAACAAAAAATTTGACTGGCCATTTTAAAATGAAAAAATAACTATCAAAAAATTTAAATTTCACTATTTTATCTACATTTTTGAATTCAGCACCCTCAAAAATGGTCAGGTACTGATTTTCAGCCACATTCTTCCACTAGATCTTAAATTATTCAAGTAAAAGTACAACTACAAAATCCATAATGGCGGACTTCCTAAAAAAAGGAACGTTTTAGGCTAAATTTCAAAACATCATAACTTTTGAACCGTTTGGATTTGGGAGCTCAAATTTTGCATTTTTTCATGTTTCCTTAATAGTTACCACTGGTAAAAATTTTAAGAAAATCCAAGGGGTGACTGAAATGACTGTCCCAGTTTTACATGGAATGACCCCGCTGCGACTCTTTATGATGTCTGGGGTCAAAATTTCACTAGTGCCCCATCATATCCAATTTATCCAAAAGACTTAATTAGCGATCTTAACCCTAAAAGAATTGAACTTTTTTTTACTGAATTCACCTCCCCAAGGCCAAAGGTATCTATTTTACTTGAAATTTTTTTAAGAAAAACTGAACAAAATTAAAAGTTAAAAATAGTCAAATAGATGAGTAACTAACTTTATTATATTGTTAGTAACTATAAGCTTAACATGTAATTGCTATTCTATGGTCTCCTTCATGAGAAATAGATTATCCAAACTTTATTCATAGCTATAACTTTGTTGTAGCACAGAGGTTTTGTGAGATTGTACTCACTAGCAGATTGGTATGCCAGTCTTGAGTCATTGTAGATCTTTGTGCTGTCTTGACTAGACAAAGCTTACTAAATTCAGATGACAAACCTCTCTAATAAGTTTCTTTTCATACACATTGCTCACATTTTTTTTTTTTTTTTTTTTTTATTTTAATTCACCTCCTCAAGGCCGAGAAGGCCACTACAGACGAGGAGGCTACTTATTTGTAGATATAACCCTCTCTCAACTCTATAACTCCGAAACACGAACCTTGACGAGCAAGGCCGCTGCGCGGAGAAACGAGTTGAGCGCGGTACTACCAGGGACGTGGTGGGGATTGAACTCGGAACCACTCGTTTATGAAGCGAGCGCTCTACCACTACACCACTACCGCATAAGATCACATAGATTTACGTCAAAGTTTTGCACTTCTCCTGCCATTGCACTTCCATTTCTCCTTCAGTCTAGGTGATTTAACTTCTTTGCTCAACCTACTATCAGATTCTAAGAGCCATATGAACAAAAACCTGTTCCTCGAATTTCTGCAGCTTAAATCCTGTTTTTTATTTGTTGAATTAGAATATGGAAAGCGGTATTGAATATGTTCACCTCAAACAGCTTCTTTTCATTTTTGTAGAAATAAACTTTGTTCTTGGTAAATCTATGTGAGCGATGTGGATGAAAAGAAACTTATTAGAGAGATTCGTGTTCTGAATTTAGTAAGCCTTGTGAAAGGTCTTTCCCTTTTTGTTCTCTTTTGAAGGTCTGGTTAAAAACCATAACTTGGTTGGCAGAAAGCAATCAAACATGCTTCATTATTGATTTTGGGCCTAGAAGATCAAAATCTTCAATAAGAGTCTTCATAAACTTCATTCCAACATAGGAAATTGAATTGAATTTGATTGAAGTGAGACACTGACATTTATTGCTTAAAGAGACTTGAAACAAATGTTTTTCATAATAATGAATTCTAATGACTGCATTTTTTTTGTTTTAGAGATTTTACTTTATTCAATAATTTTGTGTGTGTGTGTGTGTGTGTGTGTGTGTGTGTGTGTGTGTGTGTGTGTGTGCTTTATTGGGTTTGCAAGGTTTGATGAAGAGACATACCAATTTTCTCAACTAAGGCTTTTCATTGAATAGGGCTTCCACTAAAAAGATTCTAAAGTAAATGAACCCTACCAAACGTCCATTATTAGTATGCCTCAAGGTTTTTCACCCTAAGAAAACTTTTCTTAACTACCCATTTTTTTATCAACACCATTGTAGAAAAGTTGGAGAACTAATGTGATTTGCTCTGTTAACGAAAATAATTAAGTAAATGCCCATATGAAAATGATGTCACCACAGACAATTCCTCCACACTTTTTGCTAAATTTTTTTTAAACAAAAAAATCAAAGCTTTTTTTTCATCACTTTATATCAAGTTTGTATAAACCATATGTATGGTTTATACAAACCATACATATGGTTTATACAAACTTGATATAAAGTGATGAAACACATACATCATGGAATCATATGTGGTAAATAGATGAGGCTGGGGAAGAGATAAGGTTGCAATGCTATTTTGTATAAAGTTTAATAAAACTTTCATATAATATTTTGTTTAAATCTTTTTTATTAAAAGAGGAGGGGGGGGATGGCTTTATTATCCTATCACAAACTTAGTACGTTATAGTTGTATATTACAATCTGTTACCATCTACCTTTAAAAAAATAAGTGCTCTAAAAGGTTACAAGCTAAAGTAATTTATGAGTTGATGAGTTTACAACAGAAAAACCACAGATGTCCAAAATGAGTGCCTTGTTTTCAAAAGAACACTGTGAATAAATATCTTATTGATCACTCTCAAATCGAAAAAGAGTTGATTATTATCAAATAATCAAAACATATGTATATATATATAAATATATATATAAATATATATATGTATATATATATATATATATATATATATATATATATATATATATATATATATATATATATATATATATATATATATATATATATATATATATATATATATATATATATATATATATATATAAATATATATATATATATATATATATATATATATATATATATATATATATATATATATATATATATTAAATAATCAAAACAACAACTTATATTTCAAGAAAATAACAAAATAACTTTTGTAATTTTCATGAAACATAAGTTAACACTAATATGATTAAGTTTTTTTTTTAATTTAGTTTAAAAACTTAGGTTTTTTAAAAATAATATTTGCAAAAGAATATTAAATGTTACATTTTTATAATTAATTATTTTACATTTTAATTTTAAATAACGATGCTTAGTTAAAGCACATTTTTATTTTAAGTTTATGTAACAAAAGTTAAAACTACATGCATTTACTAAAGTTCTGGAGCTTTTTTGTTAAGTTTCTGTTCACAAAATGAATTATATCATTAAGTAATTATTATTTCATTGTGTTCGTTGACACGGTTTCAACTAAAACTTTTTATATTAGGAGAATTTAGAAAGGAAATCTTTTTTTTTTTTTAATGTTAATTAAAATTGTTTATGTTATTGTTTTTTTATGTACTCTTATTTTGGTTGACATATAAATAAATAAATAAATAAAAATGAGAATTATATAAATATTTTCTTTTAGACATTAAAAGAAAAAAATATATATTATTATTATAAAAATATTAGTTTTATACACTTTGTTTGTTTTACCTGTAATTTGGGTGATAAAAAGAATAAATAAACATAAGAGGCGTAAGTAAGTAAAAACTTCGACAAACCAAAGATTTTCTTATTTAAATGACTCAAATAAGTATTAATAAAGTTGTAATACTAAAATAATTTTTTGAAGTTGCTCTTTTATGCGGTAAAACTGTTTTCGATTTGATAACTTTCATAAATAATATGAAAAATCACTCAGAAAGAGTACCACCAGTTTTTTAAAATTTCCATTCTTAATTATTTTTAATGAATGAGTTCAATAGTTTTGCAATTCTTTTGTTATGCAACTTTAACTCTCAATAATTGATTTAAAAAATCCACGATAATAATTGCTCAGTAACATAAGTGATGAAAAATAAGTTAAATATATAGTATTAAAAAAAACAGTTTATTTTCTTTAGCCGGTCACTTCTTATAAATTTTTATATATTTTTTAAATTGGTATGGAGTTCTCAACATCTTGTGAAAGTTAACCACTTTTAGTTAACAAACCGCTTTACTTATTTGCAGAAATCTGACCTAAATGTTTAAGCAATTTTTTTACCTTGTTTTCCATGTAACGTAATAAGTTTGCCCTCATTTGGCCAGACTCAAATTTTTTTTGCTTTTTTTTATTCTTTATACTAACAGTTTTCATACAAAATAGCTAAAAGTTTAATTTACAGTTTAAATAGGCAAGTGTTTGATAAAGTTGTTGCACGTGTAACGTAAGTTAAAAATGGAATTGCCCATATACATGTGTATTAATGATTTATTTTTTACATATGAACTACTGGCATCTAGTAAAAAGTATGTTAATCAGGTAACTAAGTTACTTTATTTTTGATATAAAAAGCTTAATGAATAAAAATCATTAATGTCTTATCAATCTATTTTAGTAAAAATAATGGAATGTTACACATGGAAACATAATGCGAGTATAAAAATGCGCAAAGAAAATAAGAAGAGAAAATTAGAAAATCACTATAAGAAAATTAAAACAACTGAATATTTTTACTTTTATAAAAATTATACTTTTAAAACTATTTAACAAGCTTTATCAGAGTCTTGTTTTCCAGTCTGCTGGAAAGCAGCATCTGTTATATTTTCAAAAACTCTGGAGAATGATTTGACTCGTCTAACTACCGTCCCTCGTGTCCTTACTAACATAAGCAAAGTTTTTGAGTCTTTAATTAACAAACACTTAATTTTTCATCTTGAATCTAATAACTTACTTTCTGATCACCAGTATGGATTTCAGTCTTCTCGTTCTACTGCTGATTTGTTAACAATAATAACGGATAGGTTTTATTGTGCATTAGATAGAGGTGGAGAGGTTAAGGCTATCACTATTGACATTTCTAAAGTTTTTGATAAGGTTTGGTATGCTGGTCTTTTCCATAAGGTCTCTTCTTACGGTGTATCAGGTAACACCTTTAATAGGGATTATCTTTTTCCGGATATTTCCGGAATTCCGGATATTTATTTTAACTTATAGTTTTTCCAGATATCCAAAACATTTTCAATACATGCAAGTTGAGGTATATATTTTTTGTATTATAATTATTTTTTTAAGCTTTTTCACTCATCACTAATAGAAATATTATGAAGTGTTAAAAAAAATTTCCGGATTTTTAAAATATGACTAGGATGATATATGTTTTAAGATTATTGAATCCTTCTTTACCAATCGTAGTATAAAATTTGCCCTTTATGGACAGCACTTTTTTTCACATCCTGTAAATTCAGGGGTTCTTCAAGGTTCTATCCTTGGCCCTATAATTTTTTAAATTTACATTAACTATCTTCCAGAAATTCTCACATACAAGGTAGCATTGTTCAATCAATCAATCAATATATTTTCTGAAATATTTGGTATTACATTTCAAGGTTGCTTACAAATAGTATAAACTACTAATATTAAGTAAACACCTAATAACAATGATTAAAATAGTTATAGTAATAATAATAATAAAAATATTTATAATAAAACAATGATAAATGATAATAATAATAACAGTAATAATAAATAATAATAATAATAACATGTTACTTTAAAAATAGTAATATTAATAATATAGTAATTAATATAAATAATATAGCAATTTAAATAAATCGGTATAACTTTCTATACAACAATCGCTTATACATACAAAGTTACAGTTACAAACAGTAGTAAACTGACAAAACGTAACAACTAACGATGACATAAAAAAAATGCTAAAAAAAAAAATGCTAAAAAAAAAATGTTAAAAAATTATGATTTAGTAAATATATTAACCATAGCTCTTATAATATCATAACCAGTGGTGGATTAAGACTTCTTGGGGCCCGGGGCAATTTTTGTTTTTTTGAGGCCTTTTTATAGGCCAGAGCCTAAAAATGACTAAAAAAAAAGGTCCTCTGAAATACTTGGGGGCCCCGAAATTTGTCCCCCTTGATCCGGCACTGATCATAACCAAAATATATTGCAAATAATAAATAAATAAAAATGTAAACAGAAACTAATTAAATAAAATGTAAACAGAAAAACACTTAAAAAATCAAAACAAAACAAAAGATACAACAAACATTAAGAACAAAACAAAAAATTACGTTAAATATTTTTGACAACAAAAAAAACAATAAAAAAACAACATGAAATAAAAACTAAAAACAACAACAAATAAAGAAGAAAAATATATAATATTACATGGTAGAATAAAACATATATGATAAATAGCTAAAATGAAAATAAAAACAAGTAATATATAACTGTATAAAAAATTAAATATCACTATTTAAAAATAATTAATAACTAAAAAATAAAACAATAAATGACTAACAAAATATATAAAGTAAAACTTAATACGTTAAAAACTAAAGAAAAAACATTACTACAAGACCGCATAACAGCAAAACTGAAAAATAATAAATCGTAAATAAAGAATCCTAAGAAATATATGAAATAAACCTAAAGCAATATATAAAAAAATAAAAAAATCTTGATTTGCCAATTTTTTTTCGATGTATAGAAATAGTTATTATTTTCTTTTTTTTCCATTCATTTTTATTTCATTCATTAGTTGTTTTTTTTTTTTAACTTCTATTTTCATTACTTTTTTACTTTTTTCCTTTCAAATATTTCTTTTTTTTTTTTCTTCTTTTAAAACATTTATTCATTCTTCTTTTTTAGTTGATTTTATTTTTCATTTAAATTATGAATGCTTACATTTTTCTATTTTCCTCTTTTAAAAAAGTTATTATCATCCGTTAGAAAAAAGCGTCCACCATTTGCGATGTCATTGCAAAGAATTGTTGTTGTCAAAGTTCACTGATAATACTGCCATTTATTCTTGTCTTGATAAGCGGCCAACACTCTCTGATTGCTTGGAGAGGGCATTTGAGCTTGGTAAGGATCTCACTTCTCTTTTACTTCCAATCTTTCTTGGAAACCATATATCAAATACTTGAAAAATTAGCATTACTAAAGTTGCATCTCTCTATCGTGCTGTCCACTTTCTTACTCCAGATTCTATTCTTTATCTCTATAAATCTCAAATCCGTCCTTGTATGGTTTACTGTTGTCATATCCTAAAATCCAAGAAAATATAAAAATAATCTAAAACCTAAGGAAATCTAAACCGCACTTTGTGAAATACAGTTTAGAAAAAGAAATCGAAATTTTTTTCAAAAAAAGTCAAAAGTTAAGATGGTATTGTTTCTGGATTAACAATTTTTCATTTTTGCACTCGTTTTTGCATAAGTTATTTGAAATTTGATTTTCAAAGTTACATACTTCACAGTCATATGAACTGATTAGAAAAATACATTCCCTAGTTGGTTTATAAGGCTGTGAAATAAAGGTAAAGGTAAAGATTTAAGATATTGAAAATCATTTACCTGATTCCACTTACTTAAATTTTTATTTCAACTATTACACAGACACTTATTGTTTTAATTATCACACAAAAACTTATTTGGTCATTATCTCAAAATGATATTTTTGGACATTTCCTTTGTATACCAATGATTAGTAACTTTAATACATGATTTATTGAAAAGTTTTAAACCCTACCAAACTAAAATAAACTTTTTATACAAAAAAGACGATTATTTATAACTTATTTTTTACGATATTATTTTGTATAACTTTTACTAATTGAAATATAAAGTTATATTACACTGACAAAATTCTTATTCTGTTTCTTTAATTATTTTTGTTTTATTTTATTTTTTAAATATTTTTTATCAAACAACTGTTTTGTTTTGCTTATAGGCATTAGAGGAATACCTACATTAATTGTTTGCAGAAAGGTAACTTTAATTGGGTTTTCCGATAAATATTTGTCAACTTTCTGTCAAACTTTGTTATATTTACTTTAGTCGAGATCGTATATGATCCAGAAATTGAAATATATTTTGTACTATCACATTTAAGTCTCCTTGAAAAAATAAAGGTCCTCCATTTCTAAGATTTTTAAGACTTTCAGATTTTTTTTTTTTTGGGGGGGGGAGATGCATACCCCATTACACCCACGGTGGGTGCATACCCCATTACACCCACCCACCCTAAGATTTTAAAGACTTTCAGACTTTGGTGGAGGGGGGGGGGGAGATGCATACTCCATTATACCCACGAGGGATGCATACCCCATTACACCCACCCAACCCCTGGATCCGTCACTGTATATGGTGAACGTATGAGTATTTAAAAAAAATAATGCTACGTCTTTATCTTATGCTGTTATAAATATATATTTATAACATACAAAAATAAATTTATAATTATAGTTCCAAATTAAAAACAAAGGTGACGTTAAAATATGTGACAGTATTTTGTTTATATATATGAACGTTTTGATAATATTATATTTGTTTATTTTTTCTTGTTTTTCGTTTAGGATGGGTCTCTAGTTACGTCCAATGGTCGTAATCACGTTTCTGAAAAAGAACCATCAGCAGCCGTTGCTGATTGGAGAAAATAGAATTGATTTTTTAAAGCCCACTTAAAGCGTCTGCTTTTTAGAAACACATACTTAAAATCTTTCTAAAATTTAAATTTAAATGTAAAAAAATGAATGTTATAAGTTATTCATAATTTATGCATAATTTGTTAACTAATTGTTATTTAAATGTATTTTGTGTATTTGCAATAGTTTTGTAAAGTATGATTAAATTAAAATAGTTTGTATAATTGATTAAATTAAAATTTGATGTAAAGCCTTTTTATGATAAAAAAAAACAACTTTAAAGTTAATTTTTATATCTAATACACACCAATAATATTCATAATATTTATTAAAATATTAGCCTTCCTTAACCTTCATAAAATGTTTTCATTGTCATATAAAATTTTCATGCAAGGTAATGTGGTGTAACATTGACACATCTTTAGAAAAATTTTTTTTTTCTGTTGATGTGATAGTTATTTTGATGTGAAATATTTTTACGCGTTTAACAATAATATTGCTGTCATAAACTAATAAAAATTAATTAGTCATGTAATATTACCGATAGATAATTAATTTTGTTGTTGGCGTGTAACTCTTAATGTTACCCTCTATACGGCGTAACATTGACACTAGTATATTTTGTGCCGTAAATTTCAATTTACATTGTGAGAGGCAGTGATATTTTCGTTAACATGAAGTAAAATTAATTGATTTCATAAATGTGAATGAAAAATGAAATTAGGAATTATCTGAAGAACTAAAACTAAAATAGAATTGAATATCAGTCTCAGAAAAGAAAATAAACTTATTTTTGTTTCGCGGCATAAAATAAAACTATTTGCTTTTGTTACAAATACGGCTGGACATTGATACCTCTCTAATGAGTATGTCTGATACTCTGTATATGACGTACTCTTCCACAGATTAAAAAAATTCCAGATTAAAAAAATCTTCCACAGATTAAAAAAAAAGGTTTATTTGATGATCATGGTTAGGATTTAGGGTTAATTATCAAGTTAGAACAACCTGACCTTGTCTTAAATCTATTCAGACCAGCCATACCCTCAAGTTTAACCCTATCCATGACCTTAATTATTCTAAACCTTGTCCTCACCTGATCTTTTTTTTTTTATTTGTGGAAGGATGCCTTGTTTCAGACGTAATTGTGACAAAGGCTAAAAAAGCAAATAAATTTATTGTACGCTGCTTAACTGAAAGATTTTTTAAAAATTTATTTACACTTTGTTATCGCACATATCTAATCACAAATCTGTTCACGTTTTGACTTGCTTGCCATGCTGTGAATTTCTTCTATACTTGACTATTGCGTCAACATTACACTTAATCTTTTGTTACAAAAATATATCTAACGATTCGAAAAAGTTATAAATCAATCAATAACAAAATGAGTTTATCAAAGTTGTTGGCTGTTAGGAAACGTATGTTTCCTAACAGCCAAAAAGTTATGTAAAGAAATCTTTTAATATACAATAAAAAAATTCAGAGTTGTTGAAGTGCATCGCCATGTTTTAAATCTCTAGCACTTTATTTTCTTTTTTTAAATATTTTTTGATTTTTTAAATACAAAGTAAAACACTTTGAAGTTTTATAGATATTATATACATTACATGTATAAAGGTATGACATACTATAACGAACAAAGGGGAGAGATTTTTTTAAAAAATTTTAAATTTCCAAAACATAAAAACACCAGTACAAATTTGATGCTCATATTTTATGATGGAGGTACTTATTTTATTAATGTGCTCAGGTGATTAGTCCTAATAAGCTGCGGAAGGTCTGAAAAAAATTAATAAGACAAAGGAAGCCAAAAAAAAATAGCTACAGGGAAAAAAAGAGCTACGGGAGCTAACAAAAACTTTAAAATTTTTTTTTAACAGTTATCACTTTTTTTTGCTATATTTATTATTTTGATATAAGTATATATATATGGTCAGATAGAAAGAATTAAAAGTATATTTTCTTAAAGAGTGGATTTGAATCCTTGCAAAACGACACTGATGGCACATCGCACAAAACCACTGAGTTAACGAATCTAAGAAAAAAAACAAACTATTTTATAGATCTCTTTTAAGCTCTACGTATGTGGAAAAGGTGCGTATGTTAGTTTTTTTTGCTCTAAAAGTAATTTTTTTTTAAGGAATTGTTCTTCTACTGTTGACTAAAAAATATTGAAGTAAATAAGAAATAAGTATAGAAATGATCGGTGTAAAATAAATAAGTATAGAAAAAATCTCTTGGCGAAGATTTTTTTACGGTTTTTACGTAACCATAAAATTTGACGAGTCCGAATCTGATTAGTCTAAACATAAAACAATTGAGTACGGTATTCATTCTCAGTCTGACCCAACTGTATTGTCTCTTCCATAATATTTTGATTTCTTCGAATGCCCTGGCTCACAGACTTCAGCTTCTTATAAAATCTATTTACAAGTATTATATTGCAATTATTTTAGTATGCATATTGTATTATGTTATTTTTTACGGTTCGATTTTGTAATAATACTGTATTAATGACAGAATTTTTTAAACACAAATGTTGCTATAACAACTGTTGTTGAGACATTAGCGATCCGGACACCAAGACATGGGCATCAAATTGTTATTTACTGTTTGTTACTTAGAGTTCTGAAAAACTACATTTGTATTTTTTTTATTCGCCTAGGGAATATCATTGGGAATTTATATTTGTTATATTTGTAAAATTATATTTGTTATATTTGTAAAATTTCCGTTACATTGTAAAAACAAGTTTTACTTCACGCTGCAAAAGATATACGCGAAACATTTTTTAGATAAATTACTTTCAGTTTATAAAAATTTAAGATGAATTAAGTATAAAACAAGGTTGACAAAAATTTTTGTTAACGGAAGCAAAATAAATGTCAATAACTTTTTGATCTTTACACCCTGTCGAAAAGTAATAAATCTTTACCGAATCTCAATGAAATATAATCACTTCAAAATTCAGTTAAAATTACATTCATTAGCAACATCCAAGATAAAAAAGAACTTATTATTGCCATATATTTCAATATAAGGTATGATTCAGAGCTTCGTAATAACAAAACACGCAACATTTTCTGTAGAATCTCACTACTATTATCGAATCTAACGAACACTCCTCGTTTATCTAACCAGTGAAACTGATCTTATTTACATTTTTCAACTATAACTCATTACTCCCGTAAAGATGACTTTTAGAAATTTTATAGATTTACATTTATGACTTGTAGAAATTTTATAGATTTACAATATTTACTATCAAGACTAATTTTAGGAGATGCAGAAAATTATTTTACTTCTAGTTTTTTTAAAACGCAGAGATTTCTTTTCTTCTTTGCGTATATTTTGACGAAAAATCCTACTCAAAATATGCAGGCTAGAGAAATCTAAATAAAAACTGTTATAGTGCAACGTCATAATTTTACTTTAAAAATTATTTTTTAGACTATTTTATTATTAGTTCCTTCATATAATAGATATTTTATAAAGTACCTTCTTATAATAGATATTAATTATAAAGTCCCCTCTTATAATTGATATTTTATTATTTATAACGTCCTCTCTTGTAATAGATATTCTTACATTTATAATGTTCTCTTATTTAACAGATATAAAGTCCCCTCTTATAATAGACATTTCAATATTTGTAAAGTCCTTTCTTATAATAAATATAAAACATAAGCAAATAAAATAAAGTTATACTAAATAAACTACAGAAAACCTTTTTTTACTCAAGACTTAATATTAGTTAAACAAGATGCTTTTATTTTTTGCTTAAACAAAAGCTTATTATACAAATGAGGGTTCAATTATGCATAAATTATGCATAAAAGCATAATCACACGACGTTTGAAATTGTTTCATTCAGAAGTCGGTAAGATTTGGAAGGTTGTTAGGAAGTTACATGTAGCATTTGAAGACAGATGTAACGTTTGAACATGGGATGTGTGGTGTTTAAACATTTCAATAAATTAATCTGCATCGCTCAAAACTTCATTTATAATATCAAATATTCAATTGAAGTTTCTGTGCCTTCTTCTTTTTTCTTTTTTTCTTCACTTTCAATTTCTGCTTTTTGTTTGCGTTTCAAATCTGCTGCCCCTTTCTTTTCTCTCTGACCAACTTTGAAATCTAGGCAAAAAGACATTTTGCTGATTATTCGATCATTTAAAATATCATAAATATTTGAACAAAAACAAAATCTACAAAAATTACATCATTTACATAATCAATATGATTTTGATTTGGAAAAATTTTGAAAAAATTACTTTCTAATGCTTCTTTTAGAGGTTCGAGAAAACTGGAAAACTCCATTTCATCAATAGCTTCCAAAACATCACTGGCGGTAAGCGTTTTTCGTTTCCTTTTGAGAGCAATATTGTTTGCACTAAATCAAGGTTGTATTATATATATATATATATATATATATATATATATATATATATATATATATATATATATATATATATATATATATATATATATATATATATATATATATATATATATATATATATGTATATATATATATATATATATATATATATATATATATATATATATATATATATATATATATATATATATATATATATATATATATATATATATATATATATATATATGTATATATATATAAATACGCAAACGTATTTTTATAGTTAATAGCTTTGTGGTTTAATACATAAAAACTTAACCCATCAGTGAATATAAATTTCTTTGCCTACTGCCTGCAGGAATATACATGCATGTTGCACACATACATACATGAATATATTACATACCCACATACATCTAGAAATTTTTTGTTGAACAAACTGGTTAAACTAATTAGACTCTTGAATTAACTTATACTGTGGTCTGGTATTAAAATCATCTACAAGTTTTAAAGATTTTCAGTAAAAAGGTTTTTAAAATACAAGTAAATAAAAAATTTTAATGTTACTTATAAAAATATTTTTTTTTTTAAATATATGACATGTTTTACATGATTTACATATTTTACTATAATATAATATGAAAATTATTTTTTTTTTTTAATATATGACATGTTTTACATGATTTACATATTTTACTATAATATGATTTGAATCATATGATATACATATAATTTGAATTTTTAAAAATAGGCATCTGTGAGAAAGTATGTGTAAACTGAACAACATAAAAATACATTGTGTAAAATTGGTTGTAATAGCATCTGGTACATAATTTTGTGTCAAATTGTTTGCAATCGCATCTGGCACATAATTTTATTGATTTAGTGAAAGAAAAACAATTACCAGCAAGCAGCTGAGAAGCACTTTAGAGCAAAATAATATTGGGGTATCTGACAGTTGACAATGTATACATAATGTATATATATATATATATATATATATATATATATATATATATATATATATATATATATATATATATATATATATATATATATATATATATATATATATATATTTATTATGCCTAGTTAGACAAAACTTTAATTCATATATTTATATGAATTAAAGTTTATAAAATTATATGCATAATGATTATGCATAAAAGTAATACTTATAACAAAAACAATAATGATGGTAGCATAAGTAACCATGATAGTATAAGATAATCTATAATATTATAAACTATCTATTTCTTAAAATTTGTGTTTTTTAGAGTTTTTAGACATGAATAAAATTGAAAAGCGGATGCCTACTGGGTATTACTAATCCTATCTTATCCAGACTATACCTAGAATACAAAAACCAAGATGAACAATTAGGTAATAAATTTGAATATTGTAAGGATTCAACAGTATAATATTTAGTTACAGATAACGTAAAGTGTTTAGAATATGGTAAAAACATATATTTATAATTTTCTCTATAATTAAAATATATTCATAACTTCTTCATAATTCAACAATGAAGTGAATGCAAGAGGTTATTATGATGTTAGTTCCAAACAGACAACTTGATAGTTAAATAAGGTCACACAATTTAAGAACTTTGGATAATAAATATAGTACGAGTTTGAATTTGGAGGTAAATTAGTCTTTAAAAAAAGCAATCTCTGCAAGCTGCAGAGATTACTGCCTAACCTGATATGCATATCTGAGATAAGCATTAAAAATAGCCTAATATATTAATCAGATATTTACAATTGACATAATAATTTTGGTTAATATTCAGTTCAATCTGCCCAATTCCAATGCTAAGTCTTGAAGGATAAATTAGAATTTTCACTTAACTTAATTTGAACTTGAGGTTGTTCATTAACTTTTGCTTCAATAAATTTAAATATAGTAATTTAGTCTTTTTTAAAGTTTAGGGATAATTCATTGAAGCAGAGACATTTAACAAAGTTGGCTAGATCATAATTCATACTTTTATTAAGTTTTTTAAGTAATTTGTTAATTAGGAGCAAGAGCTTTAATGTTTATTATTTTTTAACCACTTTCAAAATATTTTTTTTATTGATTTATTAAAAAACAATGCATAGAACATTTTTTTTAAATGTCTCAATAACATCGCTAATTTGATTTCTGTACAGCAATGAAAAATTGTTGGTCTTTAATATAAAGAATGCTTTTAGTAGAAATATATTTAAGAATACCAAAAGTGACTCAAGGTTTATATTGAAATTTGATTTGTTTGTTTGTTAATTCTTTGTAGGGAGCATGTAGGTCTAATAATTTATCAAATGTTCAAAGCAAAAATTCATTAATGTAATCATCTTCTTTAATATGAAACTACTAGCTGATATTAGAAATTTCTCAGATTTATCAACCAACTTTTTAAAACTTCTTTCTTACAAATGTTACTCAGAAACTGCTAAATTATCGCTGTATATTATTTTGAAAAGGTTTAAAACTACTTCCAAAAGAAGCATTTTGAGTATCTTTAACTATTTATAATTCAAAAGATCTGAGAGTAAATTATTATTTTAGTCAAGGGTTGAAATAGGTGTTGTACATTCCTGCCCCTCAGACCATTCTTGAGACCTGCTAGAGAAGAGCAACAAATCATTTGTTATTTTTTTCAGCAAAAATGAACAATAGTTGTTTCTCCAGGTCTCAAAAACAGTCAAGAGCGCCGATGTGTGACACTTATTATGACTCCTGATTTTATTTATTTAAATACAATCCTCGTCCAAACTTGGCAACAGACGCTATTTAAATGAATGACCATTGTTCAAATTACAACTGTTGTTTCCTTTAATGATATTATAAAAATGATTCAAACTGTTTAAAAATTTAAAAACTTTTTTCAACTATTTGTTAAAATACCAAAACATTGCAATTATTTTAAAACTTTCTTTTTTAATTTAAACTCACAGGAAAAGTATGACAAAAATAGTTTCAAAAACAATCAAAAAAGTAGCATACAACAAATATACAAACCAAGAAGTAGTGCGTAGCACAAATAAAATACAAAACAAGAAGTAACGTATAAATAAAATAAATACACTAACCATGAAGTAGCGTAAAGGACAAACACACTTGCAGATTTACTTATAGCAGCACGAGCTTCTTTAGAAATATTTACACCATCTGGAAGCTTAAAAAAAAAAAATGAAAATAAATAAAACAAACAAAAAAATACAATTTCAAAAAGATAAACTCTAATCACACAAAAATAATGACTTTCTGATTGTATATCTTAATTTATATAATATAAAACATTCATCCAAGGTATCAGGTTGTTCTTTGGCGTATAATCTACTATTATCCTTCTTGATAACATTAATTCCTCCATTATATTAACTTTGTTTAAAACCTTATTGATATTAAATTTCCTCTCTGCTTTATGATTTATGAAAAAATATGTTATCTGGTCAAGTGTTTTTGCAACTGAAAAGTTTTACTATTTTGGAATCAAGAACATTGCCAACAGATCTGAATATCGTACAAAAACATTCTCTGCTAAAGTGGCATTAATATCAAACTGATACTAGATGAGGTAAGAGCTCTATCAGTACATCACTACCACTATATTACTTTAAATATAACTAACTTTTAATATAAATTAATAAGAATAAAAAACTAGATTTTTACTTAATTTTGTTATCAAAATATAGAGCTTTAAAGAATGAACAAAATACAGAGCTTCGAAGAACCAAACAAGTTTTCGCTATTAAAGTTTCAACTTGCTGAAAAAATCAGAAATTTTAAATGATTGTATCACATGAAACACAAATATGCTGAAATTTTCAGAAATTGTATTTCTCTTTGATATAAACCAACCCACCAAGTTTTATCAAAACCGGAGTTGGTCTATGTTAAAATCGTAAAATTTTGGTCCATTTGGCATGGAATGACCAAAAATTGACATTTAAAATTAAGAACAATTTAGATTGTAGATGATTAAATTAAATAACCAGAAGAAAAAGGGGTTCTTTTTTTTTTTTTTGCTAAAAAAAAAAAAGAACCCCTTCCCCCTCCCAATAATGATAACAATTTTTAGAAATTACTTAAATTACTTGCCACTTCTTTAATCATTCTTGCAATAACTGCAGAAGGAAGATTTAAATCCTCAGGTTTTTCAGCCATAGGTTAGGTTAGGTATAGTCTAGGTTAATAGTAAAATTATTATAAATCTACAAAAAAATTAAAAAAACTTTAGTATTTTATAATAAAAATAGTATAAAATCAAGAAAAATACATTTTACAACTTATTTAACAATGATGATTGATCTTTTAAAAAAAGTTAATAACTGCAACAATAGGTTTTGTAATATTATTGTATATAGTTAATGGAATTTGGATGATCAAAATAGTTAATGAAAGCCTCCAAATGGAAGCCTCTAAATGGAAGCCTCCAAAATAGAAGCATAAAAAATTTTGGTATAAGATATGCATAATCGAGTTTAAGTTGGCAAGGATACCACATTATACTAAAATAATTTTGAAAAAACTATCATTACTTACAACCAATAATTAAACTTTAATTCAAGAAATACACAAACTAAATATTTTCAGTCATAAGTTTATTGATGCTTTCATGTAAATTAACAATGGTTAGTGAACCCCCCTAAATAGGTCTCGAAACTCTATCCACAGATATGACACTTGAGCTAGTGACATGAACTTCAATATATATATATATATATATATATATATATATATATATATATATACTCTTGCAT